TTTTTATTGTAACAGGCTTTATATTATTATTTATGCTTTCATATATAGCTCCACCTAAAAATATAGTCTCTGCATACTTTTGCACAAAATGTTTTTAGTTAATGTAATTTTTTCAGGGTTATTGGCGATGACGTGCATTTTCTGAAACCGAACACCAAACGTATAAAACCTTCCCAAAAGTTTGAAGAATAATTAAAATATTGCATTTTATCCAATAAATTCAAATTATATCTGGCTATAGCTCCTTATTTGATTGCAACTTATCACTTTTAAGAGAAAAATGGAATGGTTTTCTGTTTCCAATGTGTGTAAAAAACATTGAAAAATCGCTAAATAGTCTTTTTTCGAAAATTTCACCTCAGCTATACTGGAAAATAGTATGCTTGTGAAAACAACTTAATTTACTTATTTTGAAATAAATAAGAAAAACCCGGACTAGTCCGAGTTGGGGTCACTCAATATAAATTTCTAGATACGCAACATAAACGGCCGTATCCCTTTTTTACCTTAATTCATAAGTTTGTATTTTTTCGCATCTTCAAGGGATTGCAGAATTGAGTGTATGGTTTAAATGTCAACTTGATACCTCTACGAGTTTGAATATTCCCAAGAGGAATTAAGTCATTGATAAGTAGCAGAAAGAGAGTGGGGGATAGGACGGAGCCCTGAGGAACGCCAGCATTCACTGACATGAACCGCGAACTGCTACCATCCGTAAGGACACGAACTCTACGCTCATCATGTACCCAGGAACAAAATTGGGCCGGCAGACCGTATGCCGTATAACTAGAAATATAAAAGAAGTTAAGACAGCCATTTTGCTTACACAGACAACTAGAAAAACTGTAAAACCTCAACCTATGGCCCCATCAAATCCTGGGTATGATAGATGGGCTTATCTGACCATCATCCAAAAGTGACCATCTTCACTTCTAAATGGCTGCGCCCTTAGCAATGACAATTCACCAAACCCCATTGAAACCATAACTTGCTAAAAGTTATCTTAAACTTTTTTAGTCTTTTAATTGATGATATCCTTGTACCGTCCAATGTCACACATAGAATTAACCTACTCAATAAATGTATTTTCTAACAATAAAATTGGCGAATATATGGAATTGTATGTATTACTCGACTCTTGCAATAAAGCAGCAATGGATGAAATGGACAAAAATCATTTGAAATGAAAAAAAATGCGTAGAAAATAGGTGCAATGAAGTTTTTTTATCAATGCCCTCCAAATAGAAGAAGCTGAACCTCCACTTTTCCTCCATAGATGTAAGTACATAGTACTTTAGTGATAGGTTTCTCCTCAAAAGTTACAAAACAATTCTCATTCACGGTTAGCCACATAATCTATCCTAAGCAGTAAATAATATTTCCTAATCAAGATAAAAAATAACCATCAATAATATCTAGGTATTTGAAATTTTGCTATTTTATATAATATCGAGAACTTCCCCGTCATACCTTGTTTTCTAATAGTTTTGAGTCCTTTAGTGTTCATCTAACCTGCTATCCCAATAAGAGAAACAGAAAAATGCAGTCTCTGCCTAGGTCACACAAGTGTCCCAGTCCATCTGAATGAAATTAAGGTTAACTATTACACTCTTTGTGAATGTTGTATGGATGAAAGATCAGTAATACACATGTAATTTGTTTGTCCCAAACAAAAAGCTATAACTGTTCATGTTTTTAATCTCTACTAAAATGTAAATGTATTGTGTTGTGTTATGTCGTACATGTCATAAATGTGTGGTGTTTTGTTACAGGCACATTAACCCAATATAGGAAGTGACAAAAATCTAAAATAGATTTCTTTCCACATTCATTTTATTAAGAATTAGATTTTTATTTATAAGAATTCCTGTTGTATAGCAGCTATCTACATGAAATTGATGGAAATGTGTGAATTAAGAAAAGCAACAATTTCTAGGATTATTATCCTTATAAAATACCAGTGCAGCATTACCCGTTTCAACCCATAAAGTCTCCAAACTATAGCTGCTCTAGCGTGGAGACTGCTTTTGAATTACTTAACAGTATGTTTTTAGGATTTTTTTCAATAATGTTTAATAATGGAAAACTATTCAGGCTCCAACATAAACATCTTTAGTCTCTTCAATGAATCAAAGAAGATGTCCATGTAGGTAGACTTTGACATAGAATTGTACTGAGAGTACATATTTACAGGTAAAAATAATCCTAGATTTGATTAACACTTGAAAGTAAATCAGGACACTCCAAGAATGTACTAATAATCTTAGAATTTATCTAGAGCTTTTTGTTATGAACAAATTATATCACGGCTTACTCAGCAACTTTAAAGGATTGGGTATATAAACATTTGAGAGTAAGGTGTCTTGGGGTCGGGGGTTGGTCATACCCCGATAAGGGTTGTGATTATGATGTACGCAGCATGCCTATCTTAAAGCAACAAAATACGCCGTTGGTCTCGGGTCGCTAGCTGCTTTACCTGACGATATACGAAATATCTGGTGTCTTCGAGGTCGGGGGTTGGTCATACCCCGATAAGGGTTGTGATTATGATGTACGCAGCATGCCTATCTTATAGCTACAAAATAGCAACAAAATACGCCGTTGGTCTCGGGTCGCTAGCTGCTTTAGCTCAAGAGATACGAAATATCTGGTGTCTTGGGGTCGGGGGTTGGTCATACCCCGTTAAGGGTTGTGATTATGATGTACGCAGCATGCCTATCTTACAGCAACAAAATACGCCGTTTGTCTCGTGCCGCTAGCTGCTTTAGTTCACGAGATACGAAAAATCTGAAATATCTAAGAATAAGGGTAGTTAGCCCCCCATGAAGGGGGGGAATTTTTCCATATCTAACCAGCTTATCTTACAGCAACAAAATATGCCGTTCATCTGATCTCTCTAACTGCTTTTGCCTCCGAGTTATCGCTGTGGTTTCGCTAGCGTAACTGGCGTTTTTCCGAGAAATCATGGAGCAACAAAATCAATTCTTGCGGCACAAAATAGCAACAAATTAGCAACAAAATACTATATACCTTAGGATATGGACTTATGAAATTGTTACGCTAGGGTAATATACCTTGACATTGTTGTAACAGGTGCCTGTGACTTTGTCTACATGGTTTTTTTTTTCAATATATAATATAATCTCACTAATCCAGCACTTCGATAGATCATCATGGCACCCTCCGCCCATGCCTCCCGTGCCCCTCTACACCTGTGCGCTTGAATTTGTTCGTGATTGGTAAAGCAAAAAATCCCAGAGCTTTCAAGAACATTTGTCTGCCAGTCTGCTACAAGAATCAAATTAGAAGTTGGGTCCCGAGAGAAGTATTCAGCGAATGGTTTCATAATGACTTTGTCCCAGAAGTCAAGAAGTTTATGAAAAGATCCAACTTGCCCATAAAAGCATTTGATTTGTTTCAATACCTGACGACCTCCGTGGCCGAGTGGTTTGTACGCCGGGTTTCAAGGTGTCGCCGACTCGAGAGGCCCCGGGTTCGAGTCCCGGTGGGGGCAGATGTTTGTGTGATGAATACGAGCATTTGTACTCCAGTCATGGATGTTTAATATGTATTTCTATATAAATATACTTATATATGTACTGTATATGTATTCTATCCGTTACCCTAGTATCCCATAACACAAGCCTTACAGTGCTTACTTTGGGGCTAGGCTAATTGGTGTGATTGTTGGAAATATTTAATTTAATTTAATACCTGCATAACATGAACAGAAGACAACGGCATGTCTGCTAAAGATATTATAATTCTTCGCAACATGCGAGAAAAGGTTTTTAAGAAAGGACTACAAGTTGCACAAAAGCAGACCTCAATTAACGATTATTTTAAAACTATGAAATTCCATATGTATGTTCTTGTTAAATTAATACATTACATACATTTATTCCATCTATGAAATGCTTTATTTTATTTGTTACCTATGACTTTTTCACTATAATCCAGTAATCCGAACATTCCAATAATCCGGCACCCTCCGGTTTTGAATAGTGTCGGATTAGTGAGATTACACTGTATATATATTATTTTTAATAAATTATTATTAATTCTTTGCCATAAATAATTTCACCCTTACCAAATTTGATTTCTATAAGTAAAAGTAATTGATGTCTTTCTCCCCTTTATCTCCATACAAAAACTCATCAAAATCAGTTCAGAAATTTGTATCACAAGGACAGCTACTTCTGCATTTGTCTTTGAATGGTCTAGGAAAGCAAATGTTGTACATAATTATATTTATTTATCTCAGATACACCTCTTACAATTTCAATAACATTTAATATAAAGATAATGGTTTTGCTGTTAAATCTACCTTAACAGTTCCTTTTAAAATCATATTAAATAAAGCAGAGCCCAGTTTTAACATTTGTGGATGCTATAGCTAAATTCAGCGTCAAATAATAAATATTCCTGTCAAAACATATGTTGTCTTATTTTAGTGTTATTGTAAAAGGTAAAAGTTGTTTCAGATGCAGCTTTAGTCAAACCTTCAACATTTGTGTTGCTGCTAATGATACAGTAACAACATCAACTTTTTAGTTCAATTTATTCAATAAATATCATTATGACAGTGCCCAGCCTACATTCACATTTACAATGTACGCTTTATGGAAAAGGTTTTAAATTGCATATTAAACATTGGCTGAGGATAATGTATAAATCACAGCAAATATTACCAAACAAATTATTTTTCACCTAGGTCAATAAGACTCAATCAAAACAAAAAAAATCGATAAAATTTTGCATCTATTATGTACTTTATACACATATTTGATTATACTAAACAAATTATACTATAAGTACCTTTATTTAAGTTATTAAAACTGCTTCGGGTCTTTTGCTCGAACAAAATAATTAATAAACACTGTAAATTTGTCAAATTACCGCATTTAATCGTGATTTTTTTGTATTCCTATGAGAATGTCCTATCATATTTTTTTACGTACGCGCTGAGTAAAGAAGTTTTTGTTGTGGATGTCACTTACCTATGTTTTGTAGCAGAGCAAAGTTGAGAAATTATGCTTTAACGATCCGATCAATACCCACCAAAGTTTTCTTTTAAAACAGAAAATTAGACAGACTTGACGCGACAGCGAGACACAGACTGTGAGCTGCGTTCCAAACCTACCATAGAGAAAGGTAAATATACCAAAAGGAAACCTACGCTGCAAGTGCATAAGTTTGGAACGCAGCCCTGTACTAAGCCCCACAGGTACAGTTTGTCTATAAAGTCATGACATTAAATGATGGCGCCACTAGTATGCATGTAGCAACCCTATACAGTCGGACCAAAATGATTTTGATACTAGCAGTTCATTCAAGTTAAATAGGTAATTAATAAGACACACTATACAGTCGTATTTTGTTTCTGTTTTATATATAGTAGGTACCTATCTTTATAAAAAGTTTAGCCAAGCATATTTAATTGAATCAGAATAAAATTATTAAAGCCTCGTAACGCCCGCGGTCCTCAATAAAATACTAAAACAAACATAGCCTGCAGGCCCAACAATTCATACAGACTCATACTCCTAAACGCCCACGGTCCTTTTTTAACGATTAAATCGTTTTGGTGATACTATGGATTTAAATTTTTTCCCTTCTGAGTATAACCAACATAAAAATACATGTATTGGGATGGCTGCTATCTATGGGCGCGAGTTGAGGTGGATTAAAAAAAAATGGGTGCGTGTACTTATGTAGGCGCGTGAGAAGTTATCCTTCTTTGGCATCGTTTAAAATTAGTTTTTAATTGCATGCAAATAATTAATTACAATAAATTAATAAAAAGTCTGGAAAAGGACACAGTCAATAAAGTTCAGTTTTAATTTGAAAAAATAAATAAATAATCAAAATATTCAATTAAAATCGCTACTGAATATAATTTATTAGAACATATGTGATTTGCACTTGTATGAAACTCAAACACGTATTCCGAATATACAAACTAGAAACATGTGGATAAATATTATAAACTAGCGGCCCGCCCTCGCTTCGCTTCGGTGTAGAGCTGAAGTGTAGACTACAGTTTTTGTTCTCAGGCTTGTATTATACACAATGACATTCATCTATGATTCTTCTTATACCTGCATGCAAAGTCTCAGCCCGATCGGTTTAAAATTGATAAAGTTTCATACAAACTTTCATTCCTTATTTTATCCCCTTGGGATTTTCTTTATATTTTTTTCCTTAAGAACCTTGTACAGAGTATTAGAAAACTACAAAAAAAAAAACAGCCAAATCGGTCAAGCCGTTTTCATGTTATGTAGTGACAACGGAAAACGGGTTTCATTTTTATATATATAGATATGAAAACAGTCTCTGTTCTAAATTCAAAACTCGTAACTTTTCCCGATGTTTGTTGCACGTGTTTCCCGCGCTAGGACCGCGAGTGGCCGCGCATGCGTACGGTGCGGCGGGCGACGCGGTAATGGCAGCGCGGCACATGAAGTTGGTCGCTAAAGCGACCAACTTCATGGTGTTCATTTTTTGTGTTACATGATGCGCGCGCATCTTAAAATTTCACTCTCAACAATTTTTCAGAACGCGCCTAAAGAAGTATAACTTCAAAAAAACAACTGTCAAAGTCATTTAACAAAGTTTGACGACTTGGCACACAAACGGAGACTACGTAACTAATCGTAAAATATTTCTATAATCTATTAATTTAAAAGCGATAATTTATTACAATTTTATTAATAATTGTATGACTCATTGTTTGAAAACTTTCTTTTATTATTTACTCCAATAGATTAACGATATTTAATACCTAAAGTAATTGATACAAAAAAAAGGACCTAGAGCGTTAACTACTTAAAAGCCATATAGTAATATTTTTGGTTTTTCTTATTGTAAATTGCAATATCTACCGCAGTTACTGCCTGTTTTTTTTAGTTTTGAGAGATGAGGATATCTGCAAGTTGCTAAAAGACTCTAATATCGAGTTGCATCCATTTGATGCCGCTGGCGAGGAATTGCAAAGAAAGTTCCACAATTCAGTTACACCTGTGTGTTACTAAGCAAAATATTTTTTAAATTTTCGCATTATTTTTATTTTAATTAGCTATTTGATATCCAAGTATAGAAGACTGATTATGGAAAGAGATTAATTATTATTTTCATTTTGCTTAATGGTTTATCAAATTCAAAATTTGTTTTTAACCATAAGTGGACATTATTTTTATTATGGGTTGCTATTTAATTTCTTTTATATAATACAGGGAGAAAAAACAGCCCTTGCTGAGTTTCTTGCCGGTTCTTCTCAGTACAAGGTCTCGCGAACCGATGGCGTAGCTTTTCGACATTCACAAGTGCTTGTAACAGTGTAGACTGAATAAACGATATTGAATTTCGAAGAATTTTTTTTTCTGACGAAATTCTTTTACTATAGAAAGAAAGTTTTATGTTCCTGAGTAGATTCTAATCAATTAATTAAAGTTTCATTTACTACAAAAACTGGTTTTTGTGTGCTACTTACTTCGACTCTACACCCTTTTCAACGTACTGAAACATAATTATGTTTGCATTTAACGCCCAAAGTACTTTTAAACGTATTAAATAAAATGACATGTGTATTGCCTTTAATACCCAAAGTACTTTTTTTGCGAATTGAATTTTGATCCTATTTGTTGTTCAAAAATGGCCTTTAGGATCCTAATAAGCTGCCAAAGAAATTTCATCTATATTGCACAATCCTAAGCACCTTAATATATTTGGGAAAGTTTGGGTCTGAACGACAATAAAAATTTAGGATTTAAAAAAGGACCTTGGGTTATAAGACATGATTAGCACTAAATGACGATGGGCGTTACGAGGATAGATAAAATAGTACTTTATAGTGTAAAAGTGTGTAATGTTGGTGATTACCGCTGAGGTGCCATTGAGACCAGAGCCGTTAGGTAATCATCCATACACACAAGTATCATCATACGACGTTTTTTAACACACTTGTTAAGAAAATAATACTAAAAATCATTTTATGGTATATAAAAAGTTTATTTAGTGTAATATGTTATGAATAAAACAATAATTTTCTGTTACTTTCTTTACTTATGCACACTTTAGCTTTAAGATTAAAAATGATTACAAAATCAGTCACTTAACACTATGGCGGTGCCATCTTCTTTTTTCTTATTCCACACCAAGGAAACATACTCAAACAGCCACTTATAATTTATATCAATTATACTACATCTTCCCCTTGTACCTTATTTTATATATACATTAATCCGTTATACAGGGTGAAATTGAATGTTTCTATAAAACTTCGTGAGATTGTTGGGTTACGTGTATAGAGTATACCTGATTTTTTTCGGATTTTTTAAAATTAGCAGAGAAAGATACCTAAACAGTTAATAATAATTTTGTTACAAAAACAAATACTTATTGCAGTTTAATACTTGGGTCAGAAAGAAATTTATAACTAGGTATTAGACAGTACTTACGAGACCGGCGATGTAGTAAGTACAACGAGGAACGAGGAACATATTCATTTTTTTCACTAGAACTTTATATCAAATCAATCACACTGGTAGTACACTAATTAGTTGTTTCGAATCAAAAAGTATTTACGCTAGCAAAAAAAGAGACTAAAATTATTATTTGCAAAATTGTTGCACTATACCACCATTTTGCTGCAAACAAAGGTAGGCACGTTTGCGGACGTGTCTTTCTACCTTTTTTAAAGTGTCCCTGTCACTTCTCACTGCACAAAATGCAACTTCTATGCGTCTTTTTAGTTCCTCGTTATCACTAATGTCGTGTCCGGTTTGGCCGTATACGAGGTCTTTAATACGACCCCACAAAAAAAATCCATTGGTGTTAGATCGGGAGAACGAGTGGGCCACGGCACTGGTCCCCCACGACCGATCCACCTTGTGCCATACGTATCACTCAAGTAGTCCCGCACCCGCTGAGAGTAATGGGCGGGAGCCCCATCATGCTGAAAATACATCCCTCTATGGTAAGACAAAGGGATATCTTCCAGCATGTTCTCGACTTGGTTCTGCAGCAAGTCTAGATAATTGTCCGTATTTAAGCGGTCTAAAAACACTGGCCCGAGAAGTTGGTCTCCTAAGATTCCCGCCCACACGTTCACACTGAAGCGTCGTTGGAAGTGTGAGGGTCTGACTTGACGCGGGTTCACGTCACTCCAAAAGTGGGAGTTGTGAATGTTAAACATTCCAACTCGGGTGAATGTAGATTCATCTGTCCACAAAATCTGACGGCGCTCTTCGCGTAGCCACGTGCAGAACTGCAGCCGAGCTGGTAAATCCGGTGGCGCCAACTCTTGCACTTTGGTCAGATGATAAGGATAGCTGGGACTGCCTTCCTCTTCGTGTAAAAGCCGCCACACGTAATATTGGCTTACACCAAATACGGCTGCGGCATCTCTGGTGCTTGCCATTGGATGCTGACAGAAGAAAACCGGAATTTCTTCTTCCAAATCGGTATAAATACGAGGTCGCCCAGAGTCAGTCGCCGGTGCGTTGAAGAGTCCAGTTTCGCGGAATCTGTATACGGCGTTGAGTATGGTTTGCGGACATACTCGTAAACCAAACCTATCTTCGTAAAGCCTTGCGGCTCTACTGAGCACATCGTCACACTCGCGATAGCAGTACACCATTTCTAAATATTCTTGGTTCGTATACCGAGGCATAATGAAATTATCACAGTGTTTGTCACTAAGTCAAAAGATACGCACGCGCGATTGATATACTTGCGACTGCCCTTTGCATGCATTGCAATCAAAGCAAAGCACCGCGCGCGGGGAAGAGGGGAGGTGGGCGGGCGAGCGTCGGCGTACATAAAAGGCAGGACTTTTTAAGGTGCTTTCACATAATCATGCCGAAATAGCCCGCGCCGTACTACTTACTAAGACTAAGACTAAAGTAAAGCCTTGTATTTCTATAGTCAAACATTTACAAAAAAAACTGCCGTTGATATTTGTTACTGCCTCAGTAAGGCACCTCGCACACTAGACGATTATGACCACGACCAGGAGCCGCGAGGACCAGATTAACTAAGGCACGCCGTGCACTAGGCCACGACCATGACCAGCCGTGGTCGTGGCCGTCACCACAACCTTGATCGCAGAA